CTGTCTCTTATACACATCTAGATGTGTATAAGAGACAGGTAAAAAACGGGTTCGTCGGAGTTTCACCGACTCATCTAAATTTTCTTGAATTTGTCTATGAATTTCGAGACGGTCCTCAGCCAAAAGATTTTTCTATTGCAATGCTGCATAACATATCTTTTTTTTTTTTTTTTTTTTTTTTTTTTGGGGTGAAACGCCAATTCTGGTTTGCTAGAGGGGGTGACAAGAGCAACCCCGTGTAGCACACCCTGCAGCCTGCTCCTGTCAATTGGTGGGAAGCCGTACCTGCTGGAAACTGGGTCCAGCATCCCACAGATAGAGTAAACAGGTGCCTCTCCCTGACAGCAGTCCCCCTGTCACACAACACGACCCCCAGGATACCCGGGGGAGAGGGGGTCCTACCGTCGGAATCAGGCGGGGATGTTCCTGGCCATACGGCCAGTGAACGAACTCGCCCATCCAGTCGCCACCCCGCTGCCGAGGGTTTTCTACTGCTCGCGTTCCCACTCCTTGTTGCTCCCCTTGCCAGTCCGACCACCTGATGCCGAGCCTGTCTCCCTGCAATCGGCCTAACCGCCCCTCCTCTAGCAGCGACTTCCCTTCGGATCTGTGGCGCTTTATCAGAATATTTTGCTCTCTGTTGCTTGCCCTGCTCCAATCCACCCAGTACTCTGCTTCTAGCGAGGCCAAAAGTTGGTCCCATGCCTGCTGCACTGGTTCCTATTTTCCTTGCAGGACCGCAATGCTGCATAGATATCTAATTTTCAGAGTAAAATCTTATTTTCAGATGAAAAATAAAATAAAATTCTGAGTCCCATTTCTTTTTCCAGGGGGGTGTGGGACGGATCTGGACTCTCCAGACCGCACAGCAGACTTCAATATCCAGACCCAGACCATCTGCATTGGGATCTGGACGTCCAATTCTAGCCATGTTTTTTTTTTTTTTTTCGCTGTGTGTGTTTTGGTACTTGGTACTTTTCTTGTTTGCTGGTTGCTGTATTCTCCCTGCCTTGTGTGCTTATATGTTGTCTGCATTCCCACCTCCTCCATTTGCAACTCTTTTTGATCCAACTCAATCGAATGAGATTGAACTGGCGCCGCTGCCACTTCACGGCCTAGTAATAGGAAAGCACTGACAATCTCATCAGTAATAGGGAAGGGGTCTCTGCACAACGCAGATTTCATTCTACGACATAGAGACAACTCCCGCCTAGGGGGAATTTAATATTGGATCTTTGGACTCAGCCTATGTGTCGCCTCACTGCTTTTGCCTCGCTGATTTTTGCCTAGTTGCTTCTTGTCTGCCGTTGTTTGTCTTCTTCCTCCAGCTGATCTTTTCCTTCCCTGCCTTTACTGTTTCTCTTCCCACCCGCCTCCTCCATGCCCTCCAGCTTATGTACCTTGTTGCCGCTTGTCGTCGAATGCCTGGCTGCCTGCCTGCGTGTTGCTTCTCTTTCTCTCTCTCTCTCTCTCTCTCTCTCTCTCTCTCTCTCTCTCTCTCTCTCTCTCTCTCTCTCTCTCTCTCTCTCTCTCTCTTGTGCGCACGCGCGCGCATGATGTTTGCCTGCCCAACCACCACCCCTGTGCCCTCCAGCCTGTATTTTGGGTATTTGTGCTTTTCTCGTCTGCTGCTTGTCTGCCTTACTGCTTTTTGCCGGCTGCTTTTTTGCCCTTCTAGACTGGTGCTTTCCTTATTGACGTCTTTTTCTGCCTGTATGTCTTTGTCTTGCCACGTGGTTGACCTATGCAGTACCATCCTCCTGCTAAAATGAGGATCTGGTGACTTTCTTTTTGCGTTCCGTTGCACAGCATGCAGCATAACGTTTGCGGGGGTCTTAGCATTGAAAACACACACACACACACACACACACACACACACACACACACACACACACACACACACACACAAAGTCTTTCTCCTGTTGTCTGTCCTCCCCTGATTTTTTCGAAGTATTTCTTTTGTGTGCCCAACTGCACTCTTAAGGGGGGCGCTCGGTTCTGGATGTCTGTGTTGCCTGTGGGTGATGAAGGATTCTCGTCCGAGTGACTCCCTGGCGCAGTGGGTGGTGGGAACCAACAGTCTGCGGGGTTCAATCGTGATGTGAGTAGGTCATGTGCCATAAAGGAAAGTGAGCGCCCAGGAGCAGGGTATTCTGGCCTGAGTGGGCAATGCGGCCACGTTGCTGCATTAGCGCACGAGCAGCAGCGCTAGCGCTGCGGGCAAGACGCGCACATGGTCGCAGAGGTGAGAGAGGGGCGCTGCTGAGGTCGCGGGCACACGGCTGCCATAGCCGGGCTGCTGGGCGCAGGCACAGTGTGGCATACTGCGTAGCCACACGGACCCTACAGGGCCCGTCCCAGACAGTCAGCCTAAAAGCCTAAAACTTAGGGCTTACAGGCCCCGGAGACGTTTCAGCCTGACAACCGAGTTCAGGCCCTACAGGCCCTAAAACGGTTCCCAGACTGAAGCCTAAAACTTAGGGCTTACAGGCCCCGGAGACATTTCAGCCTGACAACCGAGTTCAGGCCCTACAGGCCCTAAAACGGTCCCCAGACTGAAGCCTAAAACTTAGGGCTTACAGGCCCCGGAGACATTTCAGCCTGACAACCGAGTTCAGGCCCTACAGGCCCTAAAAACGGTTATCAGACTGAAAGCCTGGCAGGG